TTGTATTAGTCCAGTCTGCTCCTGCTGGTTCTCATCCCAGTACCATTCTCTTCACCTGTTCCCACCACTTCCCATCTCTACCCCCCACTTTTCTTTCCCCTGGCATAGTTACCTTGCCCAGCTAACCCTTGTCTCTCAGTCAGGACTCTGAACTCGCCACTCATTGTCTTTTCCCATGAAATGCCCAGTTTTCTTGCCCAACCAGTCCCAGTTCCTTACTCATTTGATCTGCCTCTCCCCTCTAGTCATCTTTCATTTAGCAGGCTCCTTGCCTCATTGCCCAGTCCTCCCCATGCATCCTAGCTTCTTGCCGTAACTGTCTGGTTTCCAGTTTTCTTGTCCAGTAAATCCTAGTATCATCTTCCCCCTGCAGGCACTCATCTAATCTTTGTGTCTGTCCAGCTGGTTCCATGTCTCTCCCTGGTTTCTCCCAGTTTCATACTCTCTAATGGGTTAAGTCTCATTCTTCTTGTCCAAATAGTCCCATCCAGCATCATTCTGGGTCCCAATCCCTGTCTAGTCCCTCTCCCACAGGCTCCCTCTCCAACAACTAGACACAGATTCTTTCTCTCCAGTCTGCTGAGTCCCAGTCCCAGTCTCACTGGGCTCCTTTTCCAAAGTAGCTGTAGTTTGGAACCATCAGATACTGGGCTGTTGTGTCTTAACCAGTTTGAAGTATATGAGAGCATATTATGCAGCACTGATTTAGTTGGGGTAAGCAGCTCTGTCATACTTTGCTGAAAGTAGTTGCCTGTTCTCACACATTATGAAATATCCTCACATTTCACTGTCTGGAGTTTTGATTTATTAAAAAAATATGTCAAGATTTTAAGTTGCAAGAAGCCACTCTTGAGCATTTGAAAAAATAGAACTGGTCAATGCAGATGCTTTTTTCCTTCCATGCTTGTATATTTCAGCAATAGCTATAGAGAATTTTATCAATATTTCCATGCCAAGAAATAGCTTTTGGAGCCAGGAGTAGGCATGGATTGTTTCCAGTTACAAACACTGAAAAGAGACTTTTAATGGACACCACAATGTAACAAAATGATGCTGTGATAAAGTCCTATAGGATGAGTTTCTGGGGTGAGATTCTTGAGGCCTAGCATAGAACAAGTAGCCCGAGGGAAGGAGGATAATGGTAGCTTTCAGCTCTCTCTTGGCTATAATGCTGGGTCTATTGTTGGAAACCAAGCTTCCTGCTCTTAAAGCACGAGGCAGTAAATACTGCCTGAGCTAGAAGACAAGCTTATCAAGCCAATGCTGTAGTTGGTCATTAACCTCAATATATGATGCAATTACCATGAGAACAAGGCAGGGCAATACTGAGTGACTGTGAGTTACATTTGGCCCCACTGGGGAACTGAACCCAGGTCATTTATGTGAAAGACAGAAATACTATTCATCTTCCTGAAGCTGGTGGCTTTGGGAGCTGACATGCTACTAAAGTTGTATTTGGCATAACTGTGGCAGGCTGTGGGGATGATCTAAGTTATAGCAGCCCACCCTGGGCTGGCTAAGAGCAGCACTGCTGCTAAGAATGCCCACAGATTATCAACATGCCTGGCTCCGTCTTCCCTGGTGTGACCCTCTATGCCAAGGGTTGCCAGGCAGTAGTGTAGAACCATTTATGCAGCCCAGAACAGTATATACTTCATGGAAAATCTCCCCCTATGTAGCTGCAAGCCTTTTAAATGCCTCTGTATGTTGCAGTAATAGGGTTATTAACTCCTCCATTCTTTCTGGCTTCATATTTTTATTTCTGTATTGGTGAAAGAGATTTATGTCAGCTGGAGATTTATCCACAACTGCTCTAGCTCTGAAGGGAACAGTCATAAGCAGTAAAAATGTAATGTTACATTTTTCTTCTAAAGAAATATAAACGCAAATATTTTAGATTTGGGACCGCTTAGGGAAAAACACTATTGTTGTGATTAATATTTCTTGACTCATAATACTGAGAGCACATTAATTATGAATAAAAATATTCTTTAGGCCCTTTTACTCATTTGTTTCCATGGCAATTTTACTTATGACTCGTAAGGGCTTGTTACTTTGAAGACAGCTCCTTTGCTTTTCATCTACTAGTTGGGAATGAACCCTCTTCAGCCCAGAACACAGAATAATAGCTATTTGGAAGAGAGCACTCTATAAAGGGAATACATTTGAAAGTTAAGTTTTGGTGTATTTATTAAAAAAAAGGTATTATCATATAAAATACCAAGGTACGAACCTAATTGTCTTGCTTTAAGTGGTTGTAAAATACATATTTGTTATGGAAAATCTCTTTCTATATATCCCAGAACTTTAATAAATGCTGAACAGCTTTCAAATGTAAACCATGATTAATTTTTTCTACCAATGCAGCCCAGTATGCCATTAGCCTTCTTAGCAACTAGGGCACACTTCTGGCTCATATTCAGCTTATTGTCCACTGTAACCCCCAGGTAGGTTTCTGCAGAGCTGCTGCTTAGCCAGTCAGTTCCCAGCCTGTACTGGTACATGGACTTGTTCCTCCCTTAGTGCAGGACTTTGCACTTGTCCTTGTTGAACCTCATGAGATTCCTTTTGGCCCAATCCTCCAATTTGTCTAGGTCACTTTGAATCCTAGCCCTGCCCACCAGCATATCTACTACTTCCCCCAGCTGGTGTCATCTGCAAACTTGCTGAGGGTGCACTCTATGCCATCTTCCAGGTTGTTAATGAAGACATTGAACAAAACCAGCTCCAGGATTGACCCCGGGGCACTCCACTTGATACTGGCTGCCAACTAGACATTGAGCCATTGATTACTGTTCTCTGAGCCTGATGCTCCAGCCAATTTTCTATCCACCTTACAGTCTATTCATACAGCCCATACTTCCTTATCTTGCCTGCAAAAATATTGTGGGAGATTGTATCAAAAGGCTTGCTAAAATCAAGGTACACCACATCCACCAGTCTCCCCCCATCCACAGAGCCAATCACCCCATTAGAGAAGGCAATCAGATTAGTCGGGCACAACTTGCTCCTGGTGCTGACTGTTCCTAATCACCTTTCCCCCCTCCAAGTGATTAGAAATGGATTCCTTGAGGATCTTCCAAATGATTTTTCCAGGGATTGAGGTGAGGCTGACAGGTCTGTAGTTCCTTGGATCCTCCTTTTTCCCTGTCTTAAATATGGGCACTATGTTTACCCTTTTCCAATCATCTGGGGCCTCTCCTGATTACCATGAGTTTTCAAAGATGATGGCCAGTAGCTCTGCAGTCACATCAGCCAACTCTCTGAGCACCCTCAGGTACATCCCATCCAGCCCCATAGACTTGTATATGTCCAACTTTTCTAAACAGTCCCTAACCTGTTCTTTTGTTACTGCTGGCTGGCCACCTTCTCCCAAACTATGCTGCCAGGTACAGCAGTTTGGGAGCTGACCTTGCCCGTGAAGACTGAGGAGAAATAGGCATTGAGCACTTTAGCCTTTTCTGCAACCTCTGTCACAAGTTTGCCTCCCCCATTCAGCAAGGGACCCACACCTCTGATCCTTTTCTTGCTACCAACATCCTTGTAGAAACCCTTTTGTTACCCTTCACATCCCTTGCTAGTTGCAACTCCACTTGCGTTTTGGCCTTCCTGACTTCATCATTGCATGCCTCAACAATGCTCTTATATTCTTCCCAAGTTATTTGTCTAAGCTTCCACTTCTTATATGCTTCCTTTTGGGGATTTAGTTTACTGAAGAGTTCATTAAAACTAGCCAAGCTAGTCTTCTGCTTATTTGCTAGTCTATGGAAGGTTTGTTACCTTCCATAGACTAGCAAATTTTAGAAGCTACCTTACCTCACCTTTGAGGAGGCACTATCACCTAAACAAGGGGAAGGATGCAGTGGGTCAGCAAGTACAATGAAGAAAAATGAGAGGAAAGCAGGTTAGCTATTCAGCCTCAGATGACATTGGCAACACAGTAGATTCTCTCCAAGAAGACCATGGAGGATAAGGGCTGGAATTAGTACCCAATATCTTGGAGTTGGCAAAGGAAAACTGCATATGATAGGATGGTTTACTTAAATTGAAGGTAAGTATCTAAATGTCTACATTAGCAGTTCCCAAACTGTGGGTCGTGAACCCAAATGAAGTCACAACATCAGTAGATAGGGTCGCGATAAACAGGGATCCAGGTTATCTATTCATTGTGGAAAAAATATGGATTGTTTCCTTTAAAGGAGAAAAATGCAGGAAAATGTGGGTTTCCCTTTGCGGGCTGGAAGAGTTCCAGCCTGCAAGGGGCTGCTTGGGGCTGGGGAAGAGCAGGGGAGGGTGATTGGAGGCAGGGGCACATGCACATGTACATGTCAGCCAAGCGGCAGTGGAGAGCAGCTCCCACAGCTCCCTCCAGGTAAATCTATGGGGGCGGGGGGAGAGGACACAGGTGACACATTGGACGAGCAGAGAGGGCACAAGCAATGTGCTAGGTGGAGGGGTGCAGAAGGGTCAAGGTGACATGGCATGCGCCCCCCTGAGATTTCTACACCTACAGCATGGGATGGGCTGTAGCAGGGCCAAACCAGCTCCATATGCTAGGCTGTGGAGCCCCAGGGGGAGGGCAGCAGGGCAGAGAGCCTGAAGTCTGCGGTGGGCAGCTATGCCACCCATGGGTGGGGGGACCCGGGCTCCATGCTCTGTTCTGGCCACAGTAGCTGCTGCCTCCCACGGGTGGCAGCCAGGGCTTGGGTGATGCTGGGGGGGTGCAGTGGGGGCTGTGGGCCCTGGCTCTGGAGCACCTGGGAGGTGTGGGGTGCTGTGGGTTGGACGTGAGGGGCCATGCTCAGGAAATGGGGCCATAAATGGGGTCATGCTGAGGAAAAGTTTGGGAAGCGCTGGTCCACATGCTTTTGATAAAATATACGCTGAAGTGAAACATTCCTATGGGCCTAAGCAGGTTAAATTTCAGGCTGGTACAACTTGGCATTTCAAAGAGAATATCTAATCTATTTTAAAATGTTAATTCTACTTTGAAGAAAAAATTGCACTGCACAGCATGTAGGGGTTTTTTTTGCAGCAGATTTAAACCTCATGGCCTACACAGTTCCAACCTGACTGAAACAAATGAAAAAAGACAGATCAGAGTTTCTGCCGGCATGCATGAGCAATTGTGGACTTCTGGTATCTGGAGAGCGGACTATGCAAAGGAACATCCTGAATCACCATTTCATAAGAAATTTTCTTCCGGAGGAGTTTACGGTCTTCTCCATGGCAATGTCGTTCCCTGTGCTCCAAAAACAGACTGTCTTCCACTGCTCCAGAATATATCCCAGCAAGTTTTGCGTGCTGAGGAAAGAAATTTCAATGGTTATAGCTGGTGTCTGCTTTTGTCTTAAGTAGCCCTTTAAATAATTGTGCTGTTTACCTGAAAACCCTCACTGATAGGAGAACAAAGTATTAACTGATGGCTCAAAAGAACAACACTAAGCAAGAATTAAAGCAAATATAGTTGGCTACATATAAAAAACACCTAAGACAAATTTTCAAATAATTCTCCCATAAGCATATAAGCTCAACAGCAGTATATTGGTGTACAAAACCCACCAATTTCTTCAGGCAAATGCACGCTAGAATTGAGGTTCAAAATTATCTGTACACAGAAGTAACATTTGCCTGTCTACTTCCTACACACAGGCAGGCAAGGTTTGTTGGGTAGATGTGGTATCTTTTATTAGACAAACTAAATAGTTGGAAAAAAGTTCTTTGTAAGCTTTTGGAGACAAACACCCTTCTTCAGGCATTGGGAGACTCCACACACACACACGCACACCTAATCATTCACATAATTTTTTTTGACTGCTATATGCACCTATATTTATTTCTGTATGCTAAGCATGTCCAGATCATGTGTCAGAGGCGAGATTCACAAAGAAACCGAGAAGACTAAAATGGGACTTTGCAGTTTTAGGTGCTGAAGTACAACAGCACAAGTCACAGAAACCTCACCTTCAGTGCTTAGGCAAAGATGCCAGAGATGCCTAATTGTTTGCCAGAAAATTTACTTGGCACCTAGTGCAGCTACTCTGCATACCTTGAGAGGCCACCATCTTAGCACAGACAGATGTTTAGGCACCTGTCATCTGCCTAAGGTGATCTGGGATGCACAGATTATACACCCCCCCTTGTACCAAAATCCCCTCTGCAGCCTGATCTAGTTGGATTTAACTGCTTTGAGTTCAGCACTCACAGCCACATTCATTAAAAATCAAGGAGGGGTGGTGATAGTAGTATACACACAGTTATACATAATAGCCTAGTGGGTACAGCTGTCACCCAGGAAGTTAGAGATCTGTGTTCTAGGCCTTCCACAGTCGGAGAAGATGTGAATCTCCAACTCCCTGGGCTATAAACTAAACTTGAGTTTCTACAACTGTCTTAGGCAGTCATGGCCTTTCCAGACCAAAAAGAAAAGATACTTTAAACATGTTTCCATGTCCTTCCCTTAGTCTCTCAAGTCAGAATTCCCATTTGTCAATCCTGATACCATCATTTCCTACAAATCTCCTTTGTTCCCACCTCTTACATGCGCAGACCAGCTCATCACCGTTTTCACAACATTAGATAATTATACCACAGCTGCCACTTCAGCTCTGCTACAGTGTCTTTTAATTAGGAGGCTTTTCCTTGACATACATCTGCAGGCTCTATTATTTTGGGAAAATGAGAATACTGCTGCCCACTTTCTCACAAGTACACAGAAGCTAGGTCAGATTTCTCTCACCTCCCAAGTGGTCCACTGGCTCTCTATTCAAATTGCCTTCCATTGCTCTCATCAATCAGTTTAATTTGGCTAGGAATTTCCTTAACTCTGCTTAAGTGATTTCATTTTGTGTTGCACTTTCAGTAAGCGCTTCTGGAATACTTGTACCAAATTAAATAATAGGGGCAGAGGGTTAATTGCTAAGGAAGAAAATGGCTGGGGGTGGGGGTGGGGTTGGTGAGATTTCCCAGGAGGTACATAGTCAAAAGGTGGGCATTCACAACAGAAGATGACTGTTTCAGATGTCAAAAATTTCTGAGTTAACAGCTAATTCACTAATATAGACAAGACTTGCCTGGCCTGACCTTTTGCAATATTGCCAACTCTCGTGATTTTTGGCATTGTTCTTAAAGTCTACACTTTGGGAATATTAAAAACTTAGCTCTTTCTTTTATATATGTATATAAATATATATAAAAGAAAGTGCTACGTTTTTCACATTTTTGAGGCGTAGACTTTAAGAATGACGCCAAAAGTCATCAGTTGGCAACTCTGCTTATGTAGAGTTTAGAGGATGGCTTGTATGGGATGGTTTAGATAAGGATGATCCTCCCTCAGGCAGGGGCTGGACTAAAATCAGTGGTTCTCAACCTTTTTTGTACTGGGACCCAGTTATAAACATTGATGGCTAGTCCTGACCCAGTGCCCCTCACTCCTGACCTGCTGTCCCCTGCTCCCAGGCCCCAGCCCCCAGTGTGTGGGGCAGGGGATGGGAGGGGGGGGTATGTGGGACATGAGGGGTCCCAAGCAGCTCCTTGCAGGCTGGAACTTTGCCAGCCCGCAAGGGAAAAGCCACGGTTTCCCACACTTTTCTCCTTTAAAGGAGAATCCATTTTTAAAGTTTCCTTGCGGCTCTTTCATATATTCTTGCAACTCATGGGTTGAGAAACGCTGGACTAGATGACCTGTGGAGGCCCCTTCCAGCCCTATTTCTCTGTGATTCTATGACCTTTGGAAATCATGCCAATGGGAGCTGCGATTGTTCAGCACCTATGAAAATCAGGTCTCTATTAAGCTATGCTCAAGAGGAAATGGTTTCCTGCCCCTGCTACCTTTAAAGCAAAGTGCCTGTTCTTCATGTCTTCTTTCCAGGGCATCACATACCGCTCTGGAATCATCCCATGTTTGCGTGATAACTCTGGCAGATGGCAGTGAGTGAGCCTGGGGGACATAAAACATGTTTTAAAGGAGCGTTTGATAGCATTAAGGCAGAAGTCCATAAAATTAGTAGCTAAAACCAGTAAATCTATCCAATTCACAGAGAAAAAGCCTTTCGTATTGCAATTAGGATGCAGAAAAGCATTCCTTCCTTCCTGCTGCTAAAATGAATGATCTTACTGCCATTTCCTTCTTTGACTGGGGTTAGGGTGACCACTTTTGCAAAACCACCCCCTGGTAATGAAAACTTCTGCAATGAGCCCATCAGGAAAGAAAGAGCCAGGGGGATGGGGACAGGGACAGTTTGCTTGCTTGCTTCCACTTCCAATTCACTGCAGGCCCTGCTCACCAGGGCTGGGGAGGAGGACCCAGGTATGAATTACCAAGTAGTGCCAAGCTTGTTGGGGGGTTGTAAAGGCTGTGTCTGTGGGGGGCGGGGAGGGTCTCTGGTTTGCCGATCCCAGCAGCTTTGTGGACAAAGAGGGAAACACACACACACGTATGCACACACACATACGCGCGTGCACACATACATATATATATATATACACAAACATACACACACACAGATACATATACACATACACATATATACATATACACACACATATCTATGCATACACACGTACATATACATATACATACACACACACACACACACACACATATATACACGTAGCTTGCACTGCTATTCTGGGCGCTCAGGCTCCCAGGCCATGCCGCAGAGGGAGGGAGAAGCAGCAAATAAACAAGAGGCGAGGCCCCAACCCAAAGGGGATTCAGGGCAGAAGCGCCGGACGGTGCCTGATCGGGGACCGGGCAGCCGCAACCGCATCCCCGCCCCCTGCACGAGAGAGGCAGCCGCGCGGGGGCAGGCGGGAGGCGGGCCCCGGCCGGCCCCCCTCACCCTCGCAGCTCCGTGCTGGTGCCGACGGCGACCATGGCTGCCGGCCTCTCCCGCCCCCCGGTGCCGCGGGCCCTGCGCTGGGGCCGCTTTTGTGACGCCGCCGGGGGCAGTGGGGACGCGCCTTCCCTACCAGCCCAGCGCCCAGCCGCGCCGCCGGGGATGTAGACATGGGTGCTCGGGGAGGAGACACGGGGCTCCTAAGGAGCTTCCTCAGCCACGCATCGTCCCTTGAGAAACCGAAGAGCAGGCGGGGGAGAGCGAGACGCCGGTGCTGGCGGCTAAGGAGCGCGCGCTCCCCGCTGCAGAAGGGCTGCACCGTGCTCTAGGGCAGCGGTTCTCACCTTGTTTTGGGTACCAGGCCCCATTGATAAACATAGATGGCCAGCCCTGAGCCGGTGCCCCCCACTCCCGATCTGCTGCTCCCTTCCCCCAGCATGTGGGGCGGGGGGAGTATGTGGCCGCATAGGAGTCCCCCCCATGCAACTCTGCCAGCCTGCAAGGGAAAAGCCACCGTTTCCCACATTCTCCTTTAAAGGAGAATCTGGTTTTAAAGTTTGTTCACAACCCTTTCATACCTTCTTGTGACCTACTTTTGGGTCATGACCCACGGGTTAAGAAACACTGCTCTAAAGCAGCAGAAACCCTAGGGGTGGAGGGGTATCAAGTCAGGAAGAGAGAGACCTTCAAGGGAAAAAATGAGACCCCATTTTCATACTTTGTTTTTCAAAACTTTTATTTAACCAGGTTAGAAACAAGACACCTTACTTGGTCTAGCCCTTTAGGAGTCTGCCCCCACTCCATCCCTGGAAAACACATTTCAAGAAATCCACTTAGAAAATCCCAAATTTTCTCTTTTTGCACAAGCTAACCAAAACCTGAGCAAATGTTGCGGGGGAGGGAGGGCTCTCACAATGCAAGCTCAGTTGTTATGAGATCATGCTAATGAATTTGTAAGTACCTTTAAACTACTCCCTCAGTCATTTTGCTGCTTCCAAAGTAGTGCAGGCAAAACTTTGTATAATTTTAGGCATTTATTAACCCCACCTTTTGGAAATATTGATGTTACAAATCTCAACAGAAAACAAAAAGCCCAGGAACATTAAGTGTATGCATGTTCTTTTAAAGATGGATAAAAGCCAACATGTTTTTTTTTTTAAATGCAAATGATTGTCTCCCAAATCACTGCATTGAATTATCCAATTTGAGGAAACTCTCCTATTTTCATAAGCTTCAACAATCTTTCAAATCTATTCAAGTAAAGAACTGCATCTGGCTTACATTGGGTTTTTTATTTCCTACTGTAGTGAAATCCATGAGAATTCTGAAGGATCAGGTTGTCTATTTCCACAGTTGGAACATGGAGTTCATTAAAATGCTGTGACTAGCAAACTGAAAATGAAGTGCTCTATTTGTAAAACACACAACTTTGTATCATTAACATATTTCAGATGTCATGCATCTCAACAGAAATTAGTCTGCTACACTGAACACCCCCCTCCACACACACGGCTTAGCACTTCTACACCTACTACATCTTCAAATTACTATACAGATGTTAACAAAGTCAGGCATTGACACCTTCTTGGGAGAGGTAAGAATGACTTATTTTGCAGACTGGGGGAGCGGAAACCAAAGTGGAGAGAATTAAGTAAGAGAGGATGGTGGGCTCTGAACCTTGGGGGGTTGCCTTACAGGCCTGTGGTCAAAGCTACTTGCCATCCAAACAAATACTGGGGTGTAGTCATTTTGTAGGATTTCGTTTCTGCACATGTGGAGTCTGGAACAGACAGAAATAGTACAGACACATCTTCAAAAAGAAACTTGGATCAGCAGCAGCATCTAGCCCATTCAGCAGGAATTCAGTTGCAGTCAACAGACTTTGAGGCTAAAGGTTTGTACAACCTATGCCAGTTACAAAGATTACACCAAACAAGCAGTTAGCTTAGCCGACTCTTGTTATAACAACAACAAAAACACTCTGTCCTGTCCCATTTAAAGATCTAGAAATCATGGACTGCCTCCACTGCTCACTCTGAGGAAGTGGTTATTCAAGGGACTGACGATCGCTTTAATTTTGGGAAACTGAACAGAGGTCTTAATCCTATCAGTAGTACTATTTTTGTCAATACTTTGCCATATTGACCATATCACACCTTTAATACCATGTCTTACTGGAGATCAGATGTTCCATTACAACTATGAGTGGTGCTTGACTTTATATTTAATCTGTCAAAGTGAATGTTTGTTGCTTAAGCAGTAGCCCTGAGTTGATTCCAAAACTTGCTAAATGACTCAATTTAGGCAACACATACTGAAAAAGAAAACAGTCAACTAAAACACCTAAAACATTTTCTGGGGATTCAACAGAGCAACAAAATAGGACAGGTAACAGCTCTTCCACACCGTTAAATTTACATAATAATTATGTATTTTGTCCAGCATACAAGTGTTTCCCCATCATCTTTATTTGTGAAACTTATGAAAACAAGTTAGAAGTATAATAGAAAAGGCTGATTTAATATATTCATAGAGATATAGTTCAAGTGTTCAGTACATTATTGATTAAAAGATCTCCAAATCATGGGCATTATCCATTTCAATGGTATCCTCTGGATCCATCTTTATTTCACTGTGTCCTTCCATCTTTATTTCACTGTGTCCTTCCTGTAAGTCATCAAGAGAAGCCAGGGCCTCGGTTGTATCACTAGCAAAAGTTTCTCGAGATGCATCATCATATTCTTGAAGGTTGAGCCCTTTAATAGCTTGTTTCATCTTCTTCCCCAGAACTTGCATTCTCCTCTTCTTAGCAGCTTTTTTGTTTTCATACTCCTTTTGGTTTTCTACATAGAAAATTTCCTGGAAGAAGAAAAATATTTGCTTAACATATAATAACTACTAAATGTTTAAGAGCTAAGGAGAACCTAATCAGAACACGGAGTGCTCTATTAACCTAGTCATATGTTCTAAAATTATATTAACCTTTAAAATTAAAAAAAACCCTATTACCTAAGAAAAAGAATATGCAGAGGCTACATTTTTAGACAGATGCCCTACACACACATTTTGTTGCTGCATAATTTCACGTCTTTTTCAGCTTCCCTAGTGGAAAGAGTAACAATATAGAGGACCAGAGCAATATTTATTTAAAAGAAAACCCCTAATTTTTCTGGACTGAACCAAATTCATACTAAAGTAGATGGTCCTGTAGTTTGTAATAACAGAGCAATTCATGTTATTTCATGTCATCTCAAAAGGAGTGATAATTCAGCAGCCTCAGTACAACAAATTTAAATTCACTGTTCATACAATTCAGAGTGAAAGCACAGGCTGGGACTTGATGGAGAGCCTTAAGTGGCAGACAAACTGTAATAAGGAATAGGAGGGGGTAGAAAGATTGACTAACCTTGGAGAAAAAGAATTGAGAAGAGATAAGAAACTAGAGAATCTAATGGGGGCAAAGAGACAGGAGTGGCTTTAGGATAGACTGGAGGACATAGGGTACAAAGGGCTAAGGTTAGGGGGAGAAAAAGGCACAGAAGGTTTTGTGACACAAGAGCATGTTTCTTCCACAACTGGAAATAGAACCTAACTCTCACTGCTCCTCTTCTGTTAGCCAATATTTTGAAGCCCAGTGGCAAAGAGTGTGTCATCCCCCTCTAGTGCTGCTCAAAGAGGATCACAATGAACTACTGTAGTGTTATGAGTTATTCTTTTAAGTCTGTGTATGGATTTAAAAATCCCAAGCCCAAGAAGAACCTTATAAGCGTGAATATGACGCCACATGATTTTTGTATGTTCAAAAAACTCTAGAAACTGCATGTAAGAACCTTCATGAAATGAACATTAAGAGTGGCATTCAAGCACTAAAAGCTCAGGAAATGCAAAATGTAAGTTTCTCTCTGCAACCTTACTTCAGCCCCTTTGTGCAGACATATTGTGATACAGTCTTTAATTAAATAATCTACGTGGTTTTACTGTACCAGGTAAGTCATGCCCTTGCCATGATTCAGGGTTGTAAAATTATGGAGGCTTTTGTTTGTAGGACCCTGACCACATCTGTTGAGAAAGTTGAAAGGACGGGACAGTACCGACTGATGCAGAAGACTGTAAGAAGGGAAAGAACAGTCTAGCAATTAAGGTAGCTGAATGCCACTCTGAGGCACATCCCCATGAGTACACACGTGCACCTGTGGGCCACTCTGCTAACCTGCAGCACAGCAGTTTCTTTTGACACTGGGTGATCCTGTTCTAGCAATCTAGAAGCTGGAGCCTGGCTGGCATCCAGAGCATAGCCAAGTGGCTGGCTGGGCACCCTTGCTTCCCCCAAAGGCCCCCAGGACCTCAGGTACAGCTATGGAGGCCAGCACAGGCACTGGTTCCAGCCTCCCCTGCTGCACCTGGGTCCCTTTGCAGCGTGCCAGAGCGCACATGCAGGGGCATAGCCAGGGACAAATAGCAGTGGCACAAATATGTGCTGCTGGTATTTGTCCCCTGGTAAATGCAAGCTCCTCCGTGTGCATGCTTGTGAGGATGCACCCCTGGAGAACTGGACTCTATTCCTGTCTCTGCCATAGAGTTCCTACGTGATACCAAGTAAGCTGCTTAAACCAATTTTTCCACAAGCTGCCACTATTTGCATCTTCCTTGCTTTTTGGATACCCAATATGAAGCCTTGGGATAGGATCTGTAAACTGATATACAATACTAAAACTGAAAAGTCACTAGGTGGCCACCAAAATTGGAGGGTACTTTTGATTTTAATCCATGTTTCAGTTTCCTCATCTAAAAATGCTGTGAACAGAAATGTTCATTAATGCATGTGAAGCACTGAGTTATATAGTACCAAGTATGACAGAACAGCTGACAAAAAAAATACTAGCTCAGAGCAGGATTTAACTAGTGTGTAATCAATAAGGCACTGGCCTACACACTGTGCAATGAAGATAAGGCAAAATAGTGGACAGTTCTTAATTAAATGAGTATCATGCATTCCATGCACAGAATAAGGCGGAGATTTTGGTGGAACAAGTAATTTGCATTTTTTGTAGCTAACAGCCATATCACAGTTTAAGTGGACAAATGGGCTAGAATAGACAGTTGGCATTCCCTAATTCTAAAACCACTGGGTCCACAGCCTTAGTAATGTACTTTTAATGGGGGGGGGAGGGGAAGAGAGAGAGAGAGAGAGAGAGAGAGAGAGAGAGAGAGAGAGAGAGAGAGAGAGAGAGAGAGAGTGAGTGAGTGTGAGTGTGTGCGCGCGCAACTATAAAGCCATTGCCTTTTTGTATTTAGATACTTTCCTTGCCTGCTCAGGAATACTAATGGGAATTTGCCCCGTTACTCTACCATTATTTTCTTAACCAACACAGGTTTTTGTACAAGTTAGCCTCCCCTTGAAACCATGCATAAGAAGCACTATGAAAATTAAATAAAACAATTTTTTAGTTTTTAAAAAATTTAAAAAATTTTAAATTTACTGAAGACAGTGGCTGCGATTTGACGCTTTTACCTTGATTTGCTCTTCTTTGATGCTGGGTGTGTTTTTCAGGAGGTTTAAATAAACTCCCCCAGGTGTTCTTCTTCTGCTGCCATTCTGTATAAAGAGAAAAATAAATTATTCTCCATATTGCCACATTAAAATGGATTAAATATTTGTCATTTAATAAATCAAAAGTTCTGCCTTATTTATATTTAAGCAAGTCTTTATTTGCAGAAATTTTAATATTTGCACTGTGGTAGTAGTGACTCAGAGTCACTATAATGACCAGGATACTCTGGGCGCTTAGAGACTGCAAAGGCTGGGTCCCAGTATGTAAGGTATTTAATAAACATCCCTCATCCAAAGAGGTCTTGTTTGGGCTTGTTTCAGCTATAAAGACCAGTGACCCAATACAGCACTGCATGCTCAGGATGGTGAAGGTGGTGGGGCGGGGTGTGGGGTTTGCCTTTAAACTCTCTCATAGTAGAAAGAACAACTTACTGCCAGGTTAGGCGAGTAAGATTTACTGCGCATACTCCTACCCCACAGTAAATGGAAGCTAAACTGTAGTAACAGCCCTCAACGAACGGTGGCTATGTGATCATGGACTAGCTTCCACGTACCACAATGTTAAAGCATACGTATGAGCAACTGATGCATGGTAAAACCATGTTCCTTTTTAACCTGCAGTAAGTTGTTCTTACGACAAATATTGTTAGCTAGTTAGGTAACCATGTTCCAGGATTTATTTTCCCCAAAGTTCAATTACAACCTAAATGCCATGTCCTAGTGAGTGAACAGGTGGAGACAGCTTTTGCTTGATAATATAACAGGAATCTAAATACTGTTGCAACTATTTGTATTTCTGAAAACTGAAAGGTCTAAAACTAAGGAATTACACATTCAGATTCTCTCAATGGTTGTCTTTGGTGTGAATGTACTGAATTGACTCATGGCAATATTACCTAAAATTTCATTTATTAGACCCTGTGATGTCTGATAAATCTCTTTTATTTAAGAACTCTAGAGCTCACATATTTTCAAAATGTAGTGCTTTATTTAAAGAGAGATGAAATTACATGCATTTAGATGCATTAAAACCTTACTGCATTTTTAAAGATAATCCTGAAATCTCCCTCCTTGCACACATAATCTATGCTTCAGTTGAGTTTAGTGCTTAATGAAAATGTTAATAGTAGGTAGCTGTGTCATATGAGAGCAGTGGTTCCCAACCTTTTTTTGCCGCAACCCGCTGCTGGGAGCAGAGTGCAGTGGCAGCCCAGGGGCAGGGGAGCTCCGGGCACGTGGTGCGGCTCATCCTGTGTGTGCAGCACCACCAGCATTGCCCCCGTGACCCTCATATGGGTCATGAACCGAGGTTGGGACCCGCTGTATTAGAGAGTACATGGAGCTAAACTTTAGAAAAATGCAAATGTTCTGGACATTTATGCATACTGTTAACGATAACAAAATGCAACATTTCCCAGTATGCTCTTTCAATATCAAAGATCATAACTTTCTGCCAAATAAAAACACAGTATAAACTCAGGCTCTTGTTTTTATATTGGAATTCAAGTGCAATACACAAGTTCTAAATGGAAACAACTGAAGACACCTATACATTTATCGCATCAGTCCACAGAACCCTAACAAAAAATAGGAATTTGTTAGTTATGGCTTTGATTTCCAGCTGAAGAACTTATATAGCATACACACAAATCAATTGGAGGTACGTGCTTTCATCTACTTTTGGCTAGCAAATGCTTTAGTTTTTTGCAGTACCATACATTTCTTATTAAGTGAAGTCTACATAATTAGCTACAATGTTTATACATACATTTGTTAAGTAACACTGTCCACAGTGGTTGCCTGAAAAATCTGATTTAAAATACCTTATATATTAATTCATGTTATTAAGGCCTACCTAATGTTTTATAGAAAGCATAACAGCCCCTAATAAGCACAGAATTTCTTAATATGTACCCATCTTCAAATGGCTCAGTAGTCTTACTGAATTTGATAAGACTCTTAACCTTGGTTCTTAACTTCATCCATGTGAGTTGTTACCCAGGTCAGTACTCAATAATTCCTTTCATTAGGCGTATGTAAGCAAGATATAGAGGGGCTCTTGTCTACAAACTTACATGTGCAGGTAAAAGTGCAATGACATCTGATGCGCAATCCACAGAATCACAACTCCTGCCATGCCACAAGGAGGCGTGATTTTAGGATCATGAATTAGACTCCATCATGCCTTACTGCCAGAGCAGGGGGAGCTGGCAAGTAAACTTCCATGGCTGGAAGCCCCATCAGCCGACCTGGGCTTCCAGCCGTGGGGGGAAGGGCGGGGGGGCAGCTGTCTCTGTGGCAGGTAGGTCACAGGTGACAATGCCCCAGTTGCGGGGGTGCTTCATGCACCCCTGTGGCTGTGAGATCATGTCAGCTGTGGTGTCCTAGCCATGAGGTTGCATGTAGCGCCTCCCTGGCTGGGGGGCCTGTCAGCTGAGCTGGGGCATGTTCTCCCCTGGCTGGGAGCTAGCACGAACTGGGAGCTCTCAGGCTCAGAGTTGTACATGGCAGCTCCCTTTCCCATGATTGGGAGCTCCAGTTACCCGATGGGGTTCTCAGCCACAGGGGCCCCTGGCCAAACATTCAATTTATGACATGATATGAAGCAGCTAAACAGTATTACACATTTTATGGAATAACTTTGTAACTTGTTCCTCTTTTTATCAAACCATAAACTGAATGAACATGTGACAAGGTGACCATTTAAGGCATGATTACCTGGTTAATCATGCCTTAAGTGTAAGATGTAGATGGAGTCCAAAATGCAGCAAAGTTAAATGTATACAACTGTACCTTTATCACAACTGATGAAAACGAGGGAAGAATTATGAATACTGTGGAGTACGCCTAAGCCATCCAGCTCTTTTGACTTCTGGTATATTGCTTATGTATAGAGATCTACCAAATTCACAGTTTCTGTGGAAATGCTGAATTCAGCCAGTCTCCACAAAAAAGCCTGTGCCCCATGAAAAAGGGCAGGGACCACAGAAAGGCACAAAATTGGCAAGTTGGGGTGGGTGGGGAGGGCAAAAGAGCTGCAAAAACAGAAGAGGGCAGGAAGCCCTGGTACCCTGAAGCACGGGGGGAGGAGAGGGAGCAAATCAGAGGCTGAGCCCCTGCTGTAGGCTCAATCCAGGAGCCAGCCAGGGAAGCTGGGAAGGTTTTGGTGCTAGCTTTTAAAAGTGCCCACAGGCATGTTCCTGCAGCATGCATGCTTCGCTCCTGTCTGAGGAAGAGCAGAGATGAACATGAAGTCTTGTCAAGAATGCCAAACATGTTTCAGCAGCAGACCAGGCAAGATAGTATCCTGCAGGGACCTACCATGCAGACGGGGCCAGACTTCTGTACCACCTGTAATCGAACTCTGGATGGGTCCATGAAAGCCAGCATTGATTGTCACTTGGAGTTCTGAGGTACACATGAAGAGGAAGGCTGCTTCAGAGGCTGAAGGTTAGAGCAAGAGGCAAGTGACTATGTCTGGTGGCTAGAAACCTTTAAATACCATTTTGCTTTTGGGAATTGGCTTGTAAGTAAAATAGATATGTATTAGAACAATTGCTCAGGGGAATGGCAAGGGTTAACTGATTTAAAAAAAGCCTGTTTGTGACAGTTTCCTTCAAGGCCTACTGTGTCTGAAGCTACAGACACAGGCTGGGAAATTGAAGACACGTACCCCACTGTTCCATAACATGAACAGTGTACCCAAAAAGAGATAAGGGACTCTGTAGCATTGGAGCCAGGTCACAGTGCCCAACTGCAGAGCCCTTGGTATTTCCATCTCATCTCCAAATTAGGAGACTGGTAAAAGCCTAAATTAAGATGTGTGTGCATATGATGGGTTTGTCAAACAAAGGAATATGCTGACAGACCAGAATATGAATAGTATGATGACTACAGGGAGACCAATCAGTGATGCCTGGGAACGAAGAGTCATCAGAGGAGGAGAAAGAATACAAAAGGAGGGATTTCATAGCAACAAAGGATCCCCAAGAGGGGAACCGAGGCCACCGTGGACAGAGGGCACACCACCAGCCCATCTCAACCACTCCACTGGTGGCGGGGGGGCTTGGCTTTTGACCTCCAGGCTGCTGGCATCTGACATTCAAGAGAGAACCTCAGAGTGAAGCTTATGTATTGGCCAGACGTACCTTCCCTGTAGCCCTAAGACTGGAAGATACTGAGTCTACTTGCCTTACCTGAATTATTCTTATCTGCTATCACTGTGTATCAATAAAATTCACTTATTATCAAATGGAGAGGTTGAGGTCGGTTTGAGGATTTGGATCCACCCGGAACAAGGTATCTGGGTCATAAATCCAGTGCCAACAGTGACTTCCCTGTTTAAAAGGACCATAGAAAGCAGCTTGGCAAGGCAAGAGGTAGCATTTTCCTTTGTGGAAGCCTTTGCAATAGCAAACATCCTACTGGAGAAACTAGATCACCTGAAGTTAAGGGACAAACAAAATGTGCCAAATGCTGGCAGTTTTCCATGTGCCAACAAACTTTGCCAGGACTATCTCCCTGCTGGGACTGCTTCACATGTACAATCCATGAAGGCTACCTTCACAGAGTATCATTCCTTTTCCATTATGGCTGATGAAGCCACAGACCCTGAAGACAACTACATGCTGCACATTTTAATTATACCAGGGAGTTGAACTGACCAGGACCTGCCTGTGTTTCAAACTGAACTGGTCTACCTCACATCTGTCAATTTTTCTACCATTCCTAAGCAATTGTGAAGGTAGTTGTCAGCTATGGTGTAGACTTTAACAAGATCTCAGCATTCCTGTCCAACAGTACCATGTACATGTACAAGGCTTTCCCCGATGTGCTCCAAGGAATGCTGCCCAACACTCCTCATGTCTCCTGCCATGTGCACATTCTGTCCCTAGTAAGTAACATTTGGTATATGCAGTTCCCCAAGGTGGATAGTCTGGTGTCCTCTTTGAAGAAAGCCTTCAAGCACTGTCCGGGTCATAAGGTCCAGTACGGGGAGTCTGTCAACTGTCAAAGTGGAGATTCACATGGCACTGTGCTGTTGCCATCAGAGCCTGTGCTCACATGGTGGAATTCCTGGTTCAACACGGTCTGTTACTACCAGCAGTTTGCAAGCGAGGAGCTGGAAATCACACCCAGCACACGGTATGCACAAGTTTCATGATCACCTAGGGCAAGGTGACATTCAAAATCAAGTTATGTTTGTGGCAGACAATGACACCTTCATGGAGCTCCTGACCTTGTCTGAAGGCCAGCAGGCTGTGAATCACCATGCATACAAGGTGATGGATTTGATAAGCTGGGTTGAAGAGAGTGCATTGCAAGAACTGTCACGCTGCCCTTGTGAAAACCAGCACACAAGAGACCTGTTCCAGGCAATAGCAGTGAAGGTGAACCATTACTACAGGTATGACACATCACTGACACTGTGGTTCAGACAGCTGGCTGCCCCCTTCTTTAGTGCTGTTTGCATTTTGGACCCTAACCAGGTGTCTTTGCTGAGTTTTGACCCTCAGCTTCTGAAAGCAATTCCTGGATGGGGGAAGAGTATGACAATGAACATGCTGCTTATGTGAACTTCAAGGAGTAACAGATTCCTGTGTCCTGGGACTTTGTGATCAGTTTCCACACCTTTACATCCTGGCAAGATGTAGCAACACCATTCCAAAGAATGTGGTGGATGATGAGCATGTCATCTCAGTGTATGGACAAGTGTTCACCCACTGAGACAGAGAATGTCTCCAAGCCATTGTAGCTTGGTGCAGCATGCTTGCAGTTAATACATAGCATGAACAGCCTGGCTTAAGGTTAGCATTCAGTTTCAGTAAACTCCTTATTACAGGAGTAAACTCCCCCTTTAATAAAGATGTATATAGTTAATATTAATTACAATTCATGCTGTGCATGCTATAGCTTTATTTTTATAAGATATTTCAGTTTAGAGTTTGATTAAGTGCTTAGATCAAGGGTGGGCAAAATCTGGACTGTGAACCCTATTTCTGAACAGCACTTGCTGCTGCTGCCAGACTGAGCCCTGCTGCCCTGGCCCATCCTTCCTACACCCACTGCCAGGAATAGGACCTACGTGGGCAGGGCGTATGGTTGGGATGTGGCCACAGCTCGAGCCAGGGACACCCCGGGATCTTTCATAGTTTCATAGTTGGTAGGGTCGGAAGGGACCTGAAAGGATCATCAAGTCTGACCCCCTGCCACGGCAGGAAGGAGTACTGGGGTCAAACGACCCCAACAACATTTTCATCCAGCCTCCTTTTAAAGACCCCCAGGGTAGGCCTGCCACCACTTCTCTTGGAAGTTGGTTCCAGATCCTAGCTGCCCTGACAGTGAAAGTAGTGCCTCCTGTTGTCTAGCCTGAATCTACCCTCTGCCAGCTTGTGACCGTTATTTCTTGTCATTCCTGGTAGTGCTTGGGGGAACAGGGACTCCCCCAATGCCTGCTGGTCCCCCCTGACCAGTTTGTAAACGTCCACTAGATCCCCCCTCAGCCTTCTCTTGTGGAGGCTGAACAGGTTCAGGTCCCTTAGCCTCTC